CTTATTTCATATGCTTCAGGATCTTGGGGAAACTCTTTGAGAAAGAAGATAAATATTAGAATCCTTAGAAGAACTCAAAGAAGAATTCTTCTACGAATTATTCGGGGATATAGAACTGTTAGTTATGATGCGGTCTTTGTTATCGCTGGTCTTCCGCCTATTGATTTAATTATCTTAAATAATCTTGAATTAAAGGAGAAGATAAAAGACAACGATTGTCTAACCCTGGACGGGAAGCTTCCTATTTCATGTTTGCCCCACCCAGCATGCAGGAAACCTGTTATAATTATTCCTTATGTAAATAATGTTTTTCAGGAATATAAAACTATCTGCTTTACGGATGGTAGTAAGCTTGATGGAAGGGTTGGTCTTGCTTTTGTAATTTATGAAAATGGAACAGAGAATGTTACTGCCAAGCACCGACTACATAATGAATGTACTGTTTTCCAGGCTGAACTTTTGTGTATAAACCTGGTTGTTAAGTGGATACAAAATTCTTTTAGTGAAAACCAAATTTTTAAATATCTCATTTGTACAGATTCTCTTTCTTCACTTTTTCTTTTGCGTGACACGACTTCTACTGAGAAGCTTGTGGTGGAAATTCACTCGATTTTGAACGCTCTTGAAAACGTAACTATTCATTTTTCTTACGTTCGTGGCCATAGCGGTATTTTGGGCAATGAAAGAGCAGACCAATTGGCTAGGGAAGCTACGTGTGGTGAAATAGACTTAAGGGTGTCTGTTCCAGCTTCTCACTGGAAGCGCATCGCTAGAGATAAAATCATTGCGGACTGGAATGCAGAATTTCTTGCTTCGCCTCGGTCGCTCTGGACGAAAAGGTTCTTTCCATCCATTTTTCACCGTTTGCAATGTAAATTCTTTGCAACTGATTTTAAATTGACCCAAATTTTAACAAACCATGGAAATTTTAAGAGATATTTATTTCGTTTCCATCTGCAGACCAGTGGAATTTGTGCTTGCGGTGATGCTGAACATATTTTTCTTCATTGTAGTCTGTATGCGAGTGCCCGAATGAATTTAAAGACTGATTTGAGACGTCTTTCTATTTGTTGGCCACCTGTCTTATCAGAACTGGTCAAAAGTATTGAAAGTCTTGCGGTCTTGCAGAATTTTGTTTTTAATGTAAATTTGTGAATTTTTCTTCTTTTTGTTTTCTACTTACAACTGTAAGCCTCATGCTGTACTTTGTGGTGCATGAGGAGTTTTAAGTCGTTTAAATAAAAAATAAAAAAATTTAAAAAAATAAAAAATACGAAATTTAAACAAAAGCGGTAGAATAATTCTTAAGAAATCGAATTTTTAAAAATCGATATTTAAAATTCGATTTCTCAGTAACTCATGGTAGAGTGTAAAAAATTTGGTGTAATATTTTTTCCAAATATGCTGAACAACCAAAACTTTGGTCTGTGGGAGAATTTTATTTCAAGATACCAATTAGAGCTTACATATTCAATTAAAGGGTTGATTGATTGAATATAGAGTTTTATGGAGCAAGATCCAAAGGAGGATGTGCTGCGTCAACAATTTGTTGAGTCAAATCTAACGGTAAATTGCACACAACAATTTCATCGTCATAAAATAAATGAAACTAATAAAATTGTTAATCACAAGATACGTATTTTTAAAAATTCATGAAAATCGATAAAAGGCGTAACTCTATAAAAAATACACAGAAATGGTAAAATGGACATGGGGGAGAATTAAGAGTTAATAAAATCAAATAAAACAATTATATGCAATGTAAAATGTCAATAGCTCGCAGAAATGCGAAAATGCTAGGATGATGAATTTCACCTAACAAATCCGTCACACTATTATATTTCTTAATAGTGCTATTTAAAAAGGTAAAAAGATGTTGATTAAAACAAGGACAAATGGTTAAAATGTGATGAACCGTAAGTAAAACATTACAAGTGTCGCATTTGGGAGGAGATTCTCCAAACAACTGGTGAAGATGCGTGAGTCGAGTGTGGCCGATTCTGAGATTATTAAGCTTCTCATCTGCATCACTTAGACGCAATGCAAGTAAGGGGTCTAGATATTGTTTGATATTATAAAGTTTATATTGAGTTTGAAAATCCCAATGCTGTTGCCAAAGGGACGCGATCAGCTGCCGAACATGTAGTTGAATATCTAAGAATGATACAGATATTGTTAAGTCAGTAGTTGCAGATAGTGCTGCAGAATCAGCCAACTCATTCTCTGGTATACCAACGTGACTCGGTATCCAGCAATATGAAATATTAAATACCTTCTTGCTAAGAGCGATTAATAAACGATTAATGAAACATAAAATTGGATGAGTATCACTGTGAAAATTTTCTAACTGCTTCAAAGCACTTTTACTATCGGAGTATATAAAATACTTTCGTTCAGAGCGTGAGAAATCAGCTACAATGCCAAGAGGATGGCAACAGCTTCTGCAGTGAAGACGGGACAAATATCTGGGAGCTTGTAGCTATAAACGTCATCAGCTATGATGACACCACAGCCTAAGTAACCCGCTGATTTTGATCCGTCAGTAAGAACAGGCACATACTCAAAATATTGGTGACGATGGGAATTGAATATTTGTTGATAAATGATGGTTGCAAAATTAGATTTACTGTACACCATAAAAGGGGAATAAAACTTATATTTGCGCAATGATCCATGGTGGTATGAGAAAGTGATCTACTGATTGCGTTGTTACGTCACAAATGTCGCATGTTTGTATAAATGAGCGCATGCGAGCATGAAATGGACTGAAATGTGAAAGTCTAGCGTATCGTACAATCGCTCCAAGCATGATAGAAGGGCATCATGCTCTAAAGGATGAGATTTGCAGGATATGAAACGATAGTAATAAGCCAGAGACAGCTGCATGCGGCCTAAATCTAGAGATGATTCGTGACAAATAACATATAAACTTTCAACTGGAGAAGTGCGGAATGAGCCACTACATATACGAGTACGTAAAGCTGTATGATGCACTGTATCTAAGCGCCTTAAATTGGATGCAGTAGCAGTGCCGTAGACTACACAATTGTAATCTAAACGAGATAATATTAGCGCCTTGTACAGTCTGATCAGGGCGATAAGATCCAATACGATTGGTTCTGAACAATCCTCCCACTAGCATAGTTACTTGAATGTTTCGTTGATACTACTTTTTAGTGTTGAAAAATTATTTTGGGTGTTTTTTCAATTATCTAATTAATAATTAACTTTTCGTTTCAAACATAGGTCTCTTTGTTGTATTTTTTTTTCATTAAACATATTTATTTTAATCATAATATTATAACAAATGGACTGCGAATACCTGCCGTGAGAAAATTATCGAGTTAATGAACAAATTAATTTTTTTTTCTAATTTAAAGCGTATAATAAAAATTGCTTAAAAATATTGCCTCTTATAATTCAGCACACCTCCCTCTGTCCCCATGCTCTAAATAACTGGATTTTAGCAAGGGGGGGGCGTTGAAATGTTTTTTGCTCCTTAAGGGGGCGGAAACGCTAAAAAGGTTGAGAATCTATGGATTAGAGTAATGTTCAATTGCTACTGTGCTTTCTGGATCAGGGTGTTCGCCATTTTGGGAAAGAATTCGATCAAAAAGAGAAATTTCTGATACAGCAAATTGCGACCTTCCTGGATTAAGCTTGAATCCAGCTTTACGAGCTTGAAAAATATTGTAAATGACTTTGAGGTGACAATCAAAATTATCATTTGAAGTTGAAATGTCGTCATTTTTATTTCCATTAAGCGAAAGATTTCTTAAACGCAAGTCTGATTTTAACTGGGTGATAGTTAAATGAGTCAGCCTTTCCACATTTACCGCATTTAAAGCAGTATTCACGTCTGTTGACATCTTGGCGAAGAAAAGTGCAGCGAGAGGAACCTGAAATGATTTTGTTTAAAGAGTGTGAATATACATGAATCCTTAATTGAAAATCATTACTTTATAGTGTATCTAAAATAATTTACAGTTATCTGTGTATCTTATATTACTGCAATTATAAATTTTAAATGTTAATGGATAAAAAAATGGTAACCCTATTTTTAAACTGTCACGAGTATAAGCACAAGTACTTTAAGCAAACGTAACGAGTGAAAAGCATAAAAAATGCGTTATCGAAAAGTAAAGAGTAAAAAGTACAAGTAAAATTAATTACAAGTACAAATCAAAAAATTTAACGATTATAAAGTATATTTCGAGGAAATAGAAAATTCAAAGTAACCTTAACTTTCAGCAAAAATGTAAGAAATAATATAAAATTTTTAATTTAAAACACATTAAATTTCTATTTTAAGCGCTTTTTTAAATGCATATAAATTACCAAATGTATTGAAATAGTGAATGTTGAAAATATCCAAGAACCGAAACCAGAAACTAAAGTTCAATATTATCACATAAAAGGGAATTTTGATTTATGTTAATTTTAAAAATACCAAAACTTTAAAGTTTTTGTTTTTACTTTCGGAAACAGTAGTAATAAATTAAATTGTTTAACAAATTAAATTATGTAACAAATTCAATAAATATTATGACTTTTGTTTAAAGAAATAAGTAAATAATAAAAATAATACGTTTCGCTTCTATAAACGTTAAAAAAATTATTTTTAAATATCCAATAATAATTTTTTGATACGCGATAAACATATACCTTATTAAATCAACTCATAATCAGAGCACAAAAGTATGACGATATAATAAACTGAATGTTTATTTGGTATTTTGCAAAAATTTTACGTTTATAAAATCAACAAAAGAAACTCAAGAATAATTTAATATATATAGTTCATTTAAATCAAGCATAATTTTTGTAATTTAAAACCAACCACAAAAAAATGGCACCACCACCAATGCAAGTTTTTAACTTAGAGTAAATTCGTTAGACCAATAAATATATATATAAAGGAGGNCTTTCAAAGCGTTATATATATATATTAATATATATATATATATGTTGAACAGCCAACCCAATTTTGAGCTTACGACTATCAATTGTAAACTCCATGCCCTTGTAATTTTGAACCCAATTCAAAGGAATCCAAACTTTTGGACTGAGAATTGGGACAAATTTGTAATGTGGAGGACTTTTTGAGGGAACTAATCCGCATTTGCTTTACATGGAGAGGAAAACCAAAAAAAAGCATCTTATGGGTAGCCTTACGACAAGGGTAATCTAACCCACGATCCATCTACCACTGAGGATATTTTACGTCAAAACTGTGATTGGTGCGAGCTGGGTGCGGATTTTGTATCGACCAGCCATCGGTGGGACTCAAACCTGGGTCACTTTATTGGAAGGCGAACACTCTATCCCCTAAGCCTCTACGGCTCTCTTTAGACTAATAGTTCGCATCCCCTCAATTCACCCACTATGGCTTATCGGCGACTACTTAATAATATTTCCAGGAAATATGTAGCAGAGCTTTAAATAAGTTGACCGTCAAAAAAAAAAATTTTAAATCTAATAATGACATTCAAAGACAGTAGTGTAAAAGCGAAAAGCATAATATTATTAATAGAAATTCTGTACTAAAGTGCCCCTTTAGCAAGAAAATTTAAAGCAAAGTTTAATACATAATAATAATTCATAGAACTTTGAAACTAATTCGCAAAATATAATAGTGCCATTTGTTCTTAGTACTATCTGTTTAGTAAATTCGGTTAAGTATTTTAAACAAAATTAAAATTTCGACTAAGTTTAAAGTAGCTGTCTTACAGCTATAATTCAGAGGGTTTTCTTTGATTATTGTTTTCTTGATTTATTTCTTGATCTTTTTGTTTTATGATAATACAAGCATTTCATGACCACTTCAAGCAAAATTTGACTATTTTCCCATTTTCGCTTCCGAAAACTCCAATTATAGAGCATTTTAGATATCGTCAGTTATTGTTTACACTATTTGGCGTGAAGTTCGTTGTTGTCTTTAATTCTGCTTTTCATATACAAAAACTAAAGTTTGCCGTTAAAATGTGTATATATGTTATTAGTTGCGTAGTAAGGTTATTCATATTATAGTTTTTAATTCTCTGAAAACTGTATTAAATAATTACTTAATGTTCAATTTTTATCCACTTCTGCTCTGTTATGCCTAGTTTAAATGTTTGATTTATGAAATAATTTTATTTTTTGAATTAATGAATACATGCAACTTAAATTACTGAATATTACTCTATATTGTAACTTAAAAATAACTAAGGATTCGTAATGTGTATCATATCTTACTATAATGATACATTTTATAGTTATTTAATAGCAAACACTTAACATCAAGCAATGTAAAAAAAAAACATTCTAGTTGTTTCACTAAGTCGAGAACTATCATTGCTTCTTTGTGTGTTGGAACACCTCTTTAGAGTATAAATGTTATTACTATTTTCGGTGTTAAGAGACATGAAAAAAAAATTTTATAAGGTAGAACACTCAAATTTAACAGCAACTGTCTACTGGAGGATAAAAAAAGTTAAAATCATTTTTTCGGACTGCTACTAGCAAAACTTGCAACGATAGTATCGCAACAAGAAATTATCAAAATTAAAGCCACTTTCAGAGAAAATAGAGCTCGTTAATTTTAATTACCGTTAATTTTAATTCATGCCTTACATTTTACTTTAGAAATGCTGCTTTAACTTCAACATTCAACAAATTTCATTCTTGCAAAATCAATCGAGGCAAACCTTTTTGCTAACGCAGCATTTTTTTTAAAGAAAAAAGCCTTTAGTATTTATTCAATAATCATTCAAATGTGACTAAGTATTCCGAGAAAAATATTAATTTATTTTTTCCTAAACATATTTGGAAGCTGAAATAAGGATATTCAATCTTCATTAGTCGTCAGCATATTAATTTGACGAAAATTTTTCTTCCTTATTCATTTATTGGTTGAAATAAAATATACAAAGTACACCACAATATTTTAATTACAATAAATAAAAAATTTAGTTCCGGATACATATCTGCGTATTCGAAGGACACATGATTATCAGAAAAAGAGCTAAAATCTAATTTTAGATATCTAAATATATTCTAGCTAAAATCTAATTTAATTGAAAAAATCTTTTTTTTCAGAATTAGATCAGATTTATTTAAATAATTAAATTAGATTTTTTTTTTGATACGTAGCGAAAGTATAGCAGTTTGCACATGGCATTTTCATCAAATATTTCCCTATAATTATCTTCAAACTATAATAATAACATCAAGCCTATTAAGAAATATAAAAATATTAAGATATAATGTAAAAGAAAAATTTTCTTTTATTTGGCTTAATTTTTTAGAAGTAATGTTGCATATACTTTAACTATATTCCGGTTGCGAGATAATTTTTTTAGATAATTGTTTAGATAATTTTAGGTAATAGAAATTACTTTATTATAGTTATTTGGTTAATTAAGTACTTAAAGTTATTACGCGACAAACCATATAGCGAGACACAGGGGGCATCAAAATAAACTTTTACCCTACTTAATATTAGGCTTTAATTTTTGGCTTATTAATTATTATTAAAGCTTACTAATATTAGATTTTAAAGTCCTGCTTATTATTTAATATTAGCCTTAATATTTAATATTAGTCATATTACTTAATATTAGGCTTTTAAAAAATCTTGAGCATCATTATAAAATCTGCTTCTGTTTTACAGAAATCTCTCCTGCTTTTTATTTTTAAAAAAATAGTGTTTGATTTGTTTTAAATATTAGAACTTAATGTAATTTGAAATATTAATAAAAACAATTATTTACATTAATTAAATATTAGAATTAAACATAATAAGTCATGTGGGTTCAAGATTTGTTACTTTCATATAATCATACACTATTATATCATCAGACACATACAATTTCTGTTACATAACTTTTATTTATGCAATATATCTTATTATTACAGGATTTTATTATTTCATTCTTGCAATGCTGATTTTGTAGAACTAACCAGCAAGATCTGAGAAAATTGACAGAACTCCACCTAAGACTAATGAAAAAAGAAAAGAAACATTAATTGCATGATGATATGTATTATATGGAATTGAGGATGTAGTAGATGTGTAGTTACAATAATTAAGTAAATTTAATTAACAGTTAAACTTTAATTTGCGTTCACTAATCAATATTTTATACTATCCAGTTTAAGAATATGACAATACTGAAAACCTTTCTACAGACATTCATTAATTTGAAAAATACAGAGTTAGTTATCCTGTTTTATAATTTAATTTTGTTTAGTTCTTTCATTCGCTTTTATTTGATCATGCTTAAATGAAAAAAAATGATTTTACTTTTAAACATGATCATCATAATATTTTTCATCAATCCAAGGAAATTTTTATCGAAATAAATATATTATAAAAACAATTTGTGGTTACTATTATCATATTTTGTTTTCGCATATCTGAAATAAAATTAAATTAATTCAAAATTTGATGTGGAAAAGTATGTATAGTTACATTGCTCTGGATGATCTGAAAAAATGAAATATTCTTTAAACATGCATACAAACAAGCACATTTATTTGTCATTTATACAGAATACTATAAGCGCGAAAGCCGTATGAGAGATTTGATGAGTAATGAAATAAACTGTGCAATAAAAGTGGCTAATACTTTACTATAATTATTTAAAACGAGAAAGATTTAGGAAAATGGATAATAGTAAGAAAGGAAAAGAAATAATTTATCTAATCAATTCTTAATAATTAACTAAATAATTAACTTTCGTTAGCAATCCAAAAAACAATAGTTACATATGTTAATCAAATGATAAAAATGTTAGTAAATGTGTTACTTTAAAGCATATTGTTCGAAGGTATATTAAAAATATAAATCGTTATGCCACATTCCATAGTTGGAAGAAATTTTTTTGCTACAAGTACTTAACTTTTATGCTTTATTTTCTTTAACCTCGATTTTTATTGTATCTAATTAAATGACACTGTCTTTACTCGGTGCATACTAAACACTATAAGGGTCACACTTAGCATATTTTGACCAATAATTTTACTTAGAAGCTGTGTCATGTAACCGGCTATCATTTCGGAATTAATTAACTGGAACACTAGGAAAAAACTCCAATAAATTTTATTTATGTTGAGGGAAATGAAATTAAACCTTTGATATGATCTGAAAATCTTCTGCAATATTCCACTTTGCTCTGAATTTCACAAATTGAAATAGATAATTCAAGTGTAATGATAATGTAATTCGTCATCGGTCAGCAATGTTTGGGTGCGAAAAAGACGAGTAAACTCGTCATCAGCTAACAAAACATTTAATCTAAAAGAATGCATCTGTTTTCCATTTTTTTTTATCCCTTTATTTGTTAAAAGATAAAAGACAGGGTACAGCAGTTTAAAAAAAATTATTTTGCATGAAGATGTAAGTGAAGCTAATTGCATTTTTAATTGAGGCACATTATGTACTTTAAAATCCAAATTTATTTCAGTCATTCTTACATTAAACAGAAAAAATAAATCTTAAAGAAATTAGCCTTGTAATAGCCATTGAGACTAGCTCATTTTATAATCTTATTTGAAGAAATTTTACATACCATGTCCTAAAACAAAGATTTTGATTTATTCAATTAATTTTTACTTTATTAACAATTCTCTAGAATAATAAAAATCATCTGAAAGGACGTATACTTTTTTATTAATGCTCAGTTTTTAATTTTTATTGCTATTGTAAAAAAATTTAAATGTTTGTTTTAATTCTTCGAAGCTATTTTAAATGAAGTTATATATTGTACATTTGTCAATTTAGTAGCTAAAATATAACTTATGCAATTTTGATATCAGTTATTAGATTCATAATATGCAATAAAAATTCTTAAATTGCTCAACTCTTTATTTTTCTTGGAAAGAAATTTTTGCAAGAGTATAATCTATATCTATAATTTTTATACAAAAATATTCCAGACTTAGAAATTAAGATTTAGAATATCTTGTCTAATATCTTCCTTTTTTCTACGTAAATAAAAAATGAAAATTTAAAGTAAACATTTTTTTAATAACAGAAAAGAAACACGATATTTTTGTCCAACTATTGATAAAATTAGCGATTATTTTCATTTTTGGTTACAAATTAAAATGGAATTTTTCGTAAGTTAGTAATACTCTAAATATTATTTTTAATACAGTGTTTGCTTGCAATTTATTTTGCAAAATTTTTGCGCTAGTCTAAATCAAAAATTACTCTTGGAAATACATCTTAATATCTTTTGTAAACGTAATTTTACTATTAAAATTAATTAAAACATAATTTTATTTTACGTTGATTATTTGCTGACTAGTAGAAATTGCCGTCATAATATGTGTATGTAAATATTATGAGCATATTATGTATTCACACTGTGTAATGTGTATGCTATGTGTACATATCATAATATGTGTGTTTAAAAACTATTTTATACATATATCAAAACAAAATGAACAAATTTCTTATTATACTTAAAGTCTATCTGCCACACTCAGATAAAATAGCTCAATGCTAAGACAAAAAATGGATACAACTAGCCATAAAAATGTGTAAATTATGAAAAACCATAATATGGTGTTAAATTTAATATTGCGTTTGTTTTAATTCTAACTATAGTATTGTATAATAGTCAAATTCCTTTTTATATACAATGAGGTTTAAACAAATCATTCCATATTTGAAACTTCGAAATCATCTTGAATTTGTTTCCTCGTCCCATACACATTATTCAGAAAAATCTATATTCTATTATCAAAAATTTTCACTTTTTAATAGATTTTCATAATTACGCTGTAAATCTTTGTAACTAAGGGTAGAATTTCAAGTCAATGTGCATTGTAATAACTATTTAGAACTAAACATTTTACTTGTTTTAGTTAATTAACTCATTTTTATGCTTATTTTTTCATTACTTTTCTAAATCAATAACCATTTAAGTCTCTTAGATTAAAGAATGAATTTGGTTTATTAAAGTAAAAACAATAAATATCCTATAAAATCTACTAAAGCAAATAAAAATATGTGACTCTTGCTGAATTTGTGAATCCAAATGCTAATTGCGAAACAATATGTGCATATGATTTATAATGCTAGTCGTAACTTTTATTTTAATAAAAAATTTAATTTTAGCTAATGAAATCATAATAAAATGTTATTTACCTGATCGACCTGGAAATTGAAAATTAAAATTTATAAGCTTAATAATTTCTTATAAAATCCTAAAAACATTGATGTGCCTAAAAACATTGATGACATATTTAAAGCTTTTAATTCTAAATTTCTATTTTCAAATAAAAATAATTGTTAACGTAAATGGGATTTGAAACATATCGCAAATGAAAAGTTTTATTGCTGTTATTAAATAAAGTTGAAATTCTTGAGGCGTCACAACCGTTATCCATAGTTATCATTTTATTTTTGTTATAATTTGCAAATAGTTTAAACATAATGAATTGATTTCATTTTTTATATCAATGCTTTGTAAAAGTAACCCCTAAACAATGGAATGTAAATAAGTGGAACTGGAATTTTAGAAAACTTCTGATTGACATTACATCATTAATAACATTTTCAGTGCTGTTTTTTATTTCTTATATTTTAAAACATAAAAAAAAAGAAATTATTGTTAACATTATTAAAAATTCATCCGAAAATCACTTTTTGTTCTATTTTGCAGAAAATTGTAAACTGTTTCTGCGTATGAAAAATTTTAATGCATTTTTGGGAATGGGTTTATCACTTGGGATGCATTATTAAATATCTTTCTAGTTGGAAATATTTTAGGCTTTATGCAAATTAACTGAAAATCAAATGTTCTTTGAAAGTTATTATTCATAAGGTGGCAACATCTTCAAATCTAGTGCTAAAAAAACCTGTTCGACGGAGAGAGATCCGTCTGGTAGAAAAACAAACGCAGTGGAAAGAGACTGTTGATTCGCTCCAGATTTCAACGAGCTTAAAATAACTGATGCTTTAATGATATGAAATGATCCCTGATTAAATGCTGAGTAAATCACTGTAAATGCTGATGTACAACTGTTATGTTTTCATTTGATGGCAAACTATGCTATCTATTTTATACAATAAATGCTATTTTTTATCTACAAGCTTCGTTATGTTTTAGACTCTGCACAGAAAGAACTACTTATACTTCTTATAGTTTTGTTTATGCATTTTTGAATTTTCTTAAAAATATTAAATATTTATTACAGAATTACATAATAATACACACAATAAATTATTTTCTGGGGTTTTATTGTCACGATTTTAACTCAAACCAAAAGGTTAATCGCTCAGCATAGCAATCATGAAATTAATATTTTGGTCTAAAATCTATCATTTGATCTAACTTTCATAAATATAACACACTGTTGATGTTTAATATTCGTTATGCTATTTAAATACAAAAGTCTATTTATGCACTTGAAAATTGAAATTTGAAATTTAAGAGTAATAAAGTATAAAATAAAATAAAATCTTACCCCGTTCTTAGAAGATGAAAAATAAAATATTAATGACAAGCATAAAATTTGTGGAACTCAATTTTATATAGAGAAAAAACAATGCTAACATACTTATCTAATAATTTTAAATTTAAGCTCAAAAATTTTATTCGAACTCGCCTCGTTTATTTACAATACGTTTTTACGCCTCGTTTATTTACAATACGTTTTTACGCCTCGTATATTTACAATACTTGGGGTAACATTTTATAGACTAAAAATTATTCCTTTTTTCTTAATTAATAAATAACAGAAAAACTTGCAATTAAATTTTTACTAAAAATACTCAATTAATGAAGGAAAATAACCTACGTTTGTTACCGAATATCGGAAAAATAAAGAAGACAATTATCTATTTTATCGATTCGTTCTAGTATTAAAGCACAAAATTAATATGTGAACAGTTAAAATAGGCAATGAACAATTAAAGTGAACAACAAACTGTTAAAATGAACAGTGAACAATTTAAGGAACTATACATTTGAACAAAGTGCAAGATATGAAATTCAATCTTCTTATTATCAATTAAATCTTTTGATTTATTTTAATGTCTGAATTCATTTTTTAAAAACTATTTCAATTTTAATGATAATATTGAATTGAATTTCTCTTAGCATTTGTAAAATATTAAACTATTATTATTATACTAAAACGTACTAAAACACAGTTAATCATAAGAAGCAAAAAAAGTATTAAAATTTAACTTCCTGGTTTCGTAAAAATTTAAGTTGAGTATTTTCATCGAGTTTCATTTATAAGTGATTTGGCCCTTATGTTCTTTTATCATCTATATTAAACTATGTGCTTATTGATACAAAATTAAATACTTACTGTGAGCTAAAAATTATATAAATACAAAGTCTTAATACAAAATGATGAAATCTGCATATATGTACGAAAACTTATAATAAATATTTCTGTAAGAAAATGGAAAACATTTATCAGAAAAATCACTTAAACAAATGTTGACTATGGAATAATAAATTTTAGAAATACTGACTTACTTTTTTTATCTATAAAAACACAGTATTGTTAGTTTTGTAAGACACATTTTCTAAGGAAATAATTTGCAAATGACAAACTTTAATTTTTAGTATCGCGTTTATGGAATTAATATTACCATTTTTTTCTTAATGCTATATCGGCAAAAAAAAAATTTCAATTTGGCGATATCAAAAATAATTAATAATTAATGAAATTTTTCCTTAATAAAAAAATAATTCAATTTTGAGTTTATTCCTTAAAATTAAAACAACAATGTCTGTTTACGAAAACCTAATGAGTTTAAACTAAAAGAGATTTCGTTTGATTTCCACATTTGTTCCTTTAAACTAAAAAAGCTTTACTTAAAAAATATGTTGGAACAGTATTTTTAGTAAATGGAAATTAAGCTGTTTTTTTACAGCTGTTTTTTTTACCGCTGTTCTGTTCATGGAACTTATTTTGTGAAGATAACTGTAAGCTTTTTTCAGTGATAACATTTCGTAAAAAAAAAGAATCGATCGACTTCAAAACGTATAAAGGCTTGTTTTAAGTACTTAATCTAAGCACTATTCTTCTAAGTACTAATCTATAACTGATCAAAAACTGTTACGAAAACAATCACAAAATTAAATATATTATGCTGCCATTCCAAAACATTTCTTTTAATTTACGGAATTATTTGTCTCATTGTCAAACGGAATTATTTGTCTCAAAATTTTTATCAGTAGTAATATCTTTTTTAACAATTCCTTATTTAAGATTTATCATTCAATTTAGCATTAATTTACTTTTCATGAAAATAAACTTCCTCCAAAATATTTTCTTATTTTTATTTATAATTAATAAAAGAGAACTAATATTTTTAAAAATTCGAATTAAAAGAAGTTTAACTACATTTTAACTGGACAATTGTACAGACTCTTGTGTGTAGAAAATAATGTTCAATATCACAAGTTTTATGAATTCCAATTTTTTCTAAACAAATCGTAGGTATTTATATAGTGTTTGAATTTCTGTAGAAAAAATGAGTTCAGTTTAATAAAAAATCACAAAATAAATCATTTTTAACAGCAATATATCTGAAATGGTTTGATACATGTATAAGAAAAACTACAATAGTAGATAGCCTGTTATTTAATAGATTATTAACTAATTGGTTTTTAGGCAATTAAAACAGATACTTACGAGTTCCTAGAAACAAAAATATTTTTATCAAAAAAAGTGTGAAGAAAAACTATTTTCATACTCGTATTTCATAGGAAATCAGTTTTAATTTTTAAATTATAATCTTAATTTTACAGAAAAAAAATTTCACAAATGTTTAGAAATAATATTTATGATAGCAATCTATACAACGGCCAACTTACAGACTGCATTATATTAAAGCTTCATATGACAGAAATATAATTATGTCTAACAGCTAAATTTCAGGGTATAAATAATTAAAATAATTTTAAAAAATAGTGAAAGGAATAAGTTCTTATTCTACTTCTCTAATTTCTAAAGAATTGGTTGAATATTGTATCAAAAACTATATTGAAAAAATTATGATCTCAGTACCTTGAACGAATCGTGCATATTTAGTACTTCCATATATGCACGATTCGTTCAAGGTGTCGTGCATATTTAGTACTTCCATCTATGCACGATTCGTTCAAGGTGTCGTGGATATTTAGTACTTCCATATATGCACGATTTGTTCAAGGTGTCGTGCATATTTAGTACTTCCGTAATGTAGTTACATATAAAATCGAAATAAATTCGAATAAATTGTTAAATTTCAAGCATAATATCTTTTAATAAAATTTAACAGGCATTAATTCGTTTGATCATATGGTTCAATTTGATATTGAGGTTAAGAGCACTCCAAAAATGTAACAGTGTATGAAACACTAAATGTAACAGGAAATGTAATAGTAATTTTAAATTTTATACTACAAATAACTACTATTTAATAACTTATGGAATACTCAATTTTAAAATTTAAAGGAAAGAGTTCATAATAATATGCATTAGGTTAATAATAAGTTATATAATAATATTTAAGGGCATTTAAAAAATTTTCAAATCGATAATTTCAACTACTTTATTAATGCTTGATCAGGAAAATGATTTAAAACTATTCAAAAGTTAAAAGATAATTGTTAATATATATTTTCATCAACCTTCCAAGTCGACGTTGTTATTAACCCAAATCAAAAAAATTTTGTTAGAGATTAACTTTAAATCTTGTCTTTTTCATGTGTATACAGTTGTGAAATTTATTCTTAAGAAGACAACCTTAAATCCTGCAGTAATCTTAGCAAATTTTACTAAATAGTTGTTGTATATACTGTAAAAAAAATTCGAATCAAATTATGGCAAAATTACTGGCTCTCAAGATACCGGTACTTTTTACCGTAAAATCTATTTTTGCCAAAAATATGTTACGCAAAGAACAATATGATATACCTTAATTTTTACATTAATAATTACAGTAAAATTACTCAATCAGTCCAACCAAAGAAATATTACTGCAAAAATAATAATATGATGTAATATTTTGCGTAAAAATAGAGTTTACGGTAAACAGAGGATGCACCCAAATTGCCGGTATTTTGTACCGTTTTTTGATCCCGAATTTCTTACAGTGCACCATTTTGAATAGGCAATGCCTACATTAAATCTAGCACACTGTAAAAACGTACAAAAGCTTATTTTGTCACAACAAAAATGTTTTCGAAAATCTGAGAGAACTTCATTTCATAGCATGTTTCCGATCAATTGAGAAACATTTCTTTTACTTTCAAAAGTATGAAACTGAATCGCATTGACGCTGAGATTAAACTTTTGAGGTTTCCGAAATATTCAGAAATTGTTTAGAAGATCACATGCTCGGTAGCTGCCTCATATAAACAGAAAAGAATTTTTTTTACAGAGTTACTCAGATAGGGTTAAGATTTAAAAAAATTATGATCTTAAAATTTGATAAAAGTTTGATATAAAGGAATCAAAATAGATACATTCAAAAATCTTACCATGCTCGACTAAAGGTAGAAAATAAAGATATATAAAAAAACGCTCATATCAAAATAAAATGAAATAAATGTACAAAAAATATTTTGAAATTTTTAAGAAGTGATAGCTGAAAAATTTCAACTTTAAACAATTACATTCGAGAATAAGCAGCGTCTCATTATACGTCACGTCTGTTGAAATAAAATCCCTAAAAGTAAATTCCCATTCTAATTTTTATCAATCAAATTACATTTTTCGTTTTATTTCTTTTACCAATTGAAAGACAACTTAAACTTCGTTATTCACCTCATTAATTAAAACGATTCTCTACATTTCAGAAATTAAGTGTAGATTTTTAAATAATAAAAATTTTACAGTTGAAGTCAATCTGCAATTTCATGTTAATTACGGTAAAATTGATCTCTAATTTCAGAAATTATTTGCTATACAATGCTTTTTTATAAATATTAAAAACTATTTTTGTCTCACCACTTCTGTTTTAATCCTGTATACTGTAAAAAATACCGGATCAATTTGCTGAGTAAAGTATTGGCACTTTAAACGCATCATCTGTAAATCTTTTTTACTGCATAATACTTTACAGTAATTATTGTAATATTTAATTAATTAGAGTGATTTTACTGCAATTATTACTGAAAAAATTGCAGTATATCAGATATTTTGTTCTGTAACATGTTCCGACAAAAACGGATTTTATGGTAAAAAATACGGTACTCTGAGTGCCTTTAATTTTTACTGTAATTTGATCCAGAATTTTTTACATTGCAGCTTGTTGGAAAGACAATGGTTTGCAAAATTTTTAAACTTATTAACAATACAATGAAAAGGATTAGGATGATTAGTAATTGCCTTTTTGAGAGAAATTTTTAAAAACTAAATTTTTGATCTGAAAAAGACATTTTGAGAACAATGAAAATTCTCTGAAAAGAAATTCCCTTTTTACGAAAACCAAATCTAGTTCAACGCTTCTATAAGAAACTATAGATGTCTTTGTAAATTACTTTGTAGAATTAAAGAAAACGTATGTTAGATGATTTTGAAAACATATTTTTTGGCTAAAGCAGGTGATAATAATTTTCAAGCACAGTTAAGTGGTTTAAATCATTTTTTTTTTGTATAATCTTAATTTAATTGCTAATATTTTTTGACTAAGAAAATCGAAAATATGCTCATTTTTTGAGGATATTTTTAAGTGATCAGATATATCTTTAACATTTTGTATACTGCACTCAATGTGGTAAAACCCGTCATTATGATCATCTTCTTCCACCAACTGTCTGCAAAATGGTAAATAACTAGTTTCTGAATTCTTCGAATGCCAGTGGTTAGATCGCGATTAATTGTTATTGTGAAATAAAGTGAAACGTTTTTTTATACTTTTAAACACAGAAACATGAGATTTTAAATTCCAAAAAAGAAATATTTAACACTTATGCTAGTTTTACAAGATTTAAAAAAAATGTTTACATCTTTTGATAGCTATTGAGACAATTGAAATTCGGAAATTACCGTAAAGAGTAATTTTATAGTAATGTTTTACAGTGTTTAAGTGTATAATGTTTACTTAAATAATCTTGTGCAAAAATAATCTATGAGTTTTTATTAGTTACAATTTTGTTAACCTCAATTTTAAAATGTAATTATATTTTTAATTGTTAGTATTAGAAGTTATAATATAAAAAAAATTTAATACTTACATGCAGAAGCTAAAATTAAAAAATTTAAATAAATTTTGTTGGATTGTAAAAATTGTACAATCAATATTTAACAATCCAAAAAGTTCACAACTTTCCGAAGAAATATTTTTTCGCTTTATTTTGCTTAGATAAAAATAATAAAGACGGAACTATAAAGTAAAAAGAACATATTCTTGAAAATAGGCTTCGTAAAAATGAATTTAAAAAAATACATATGAGGTTAAGTAGTGAATGTCATTTCCCATCAATAACATTAATGGAAAATGACATTATCCTGGCATTATTGTCATTATCCTGACTTATGAATGCCAGGACATTGACGCAGTTACCAGAAAAAATTTTAAACAGTATAATGTAAAGAGGGAAAGCAAATATTAACCTAATACCCAGTTTAAGTAAGATTGTAATATGCTTGTATGTAAATAAAGTTATTTATTTACTTAATGATTGATTATTATTCATAACTTTATTCTGTGCGCATCAACAGAAAAAAAAAACATTTTAAATTCTTTCTACAGTGGATAAAAGAATTAATTTGAATAATTCATAGCCCATCTAACTTGAAGGATTTAGGTTAAATTTTTGCCAAGAGACAGATAGTTAAAATATAAAGGATAAGCTGAGAACATTACTGCACAATTTAATTCTGCCGTAGTCTTTAAATTCCCTTTTGGTGCTTAAATTAAAGAATGTAATAAACTTGCAAAATATAATTATTAGAAATATTTTAAATTTGAATAAAAAGATGAAACATCTGTGATGCAAATTATTATAAAATTAATTTTACTAGGCAATTTTAAAACACGGGGCTTAAAAACAGTCAAGAGAAAATAAACTGGGAAAAAAACGGGAAGCCGAGGGGAAGAGGTATGGAAAAATTAAAAATGATAGAGAGCTTCTCAAAAAAGGAAAACCCTAAGAGAAATTTAGGGTATGCTCGATTTGAAAAGAAAAGAGTTGTAAAGCCAATCGCAAAGTTGAGAGTAAAAGAGAAAAGTATATTGCTAGAACATATGAATCATATTGCCGAAATAAAGCATCAGTTTCAATTCACCAGGAAATTAAAAGAAAATCTTTCCACACAGTCAATTTTCATTTACATTAATTTACGTGAAAACTATAATATCAGATATGCATCAGAAATACAAGCAGTACACTTGGCAGCTTCAAGAACACAATTTACTGTACGCACACGAGTATTATATCAAACACCATCGGAAAAGACAAATCTTCATTTCATCCACAGGGTCTTCATTTTCAACTCTATCAGAATCTCTAGGAAATTATTCATGCGCTAATGTGCTATTTGGGCACATTTAAAGAAACTTTTTGGTAATGTTCCGCAGAGAGAAAACTTAAAGGACATGTATTTAGTGAATAATTCGCTTTCAACACAATATAGAAATAAAACAAATTTTTATCTTTTAAAGCTTTTTTTTTAATATTTCCTCCAATTTTGCCTAATGTATCATCCGTACTGGACCATGGAGTTGGGTGGTGTTGGGCGGTTGTAAAACGTTCTGCTGAAAGAAGTGTAGCTTTCGGTGGAGACATACCAAATATGAAAACTTTCATTTCTGTCGTTGAAAAATAAGGTAATTTAATAATTATAGAAGTTAAAACTTCAGATATAGAAACAGTCGATAAATTCATTGAAGGAAAAAAGATCATTCCCATCAAGGAGTCTATGAATGTGCACCGAGTCTTCTGGAAAAAAGATTTCAACTAGCCTCTTCTTTCGTAAAATGAGCTGTAACTGCCGGTAATTACCTGCGACTTTCACATTGGTTCGCGCAACTGCTCAAAATTTCGTACCACAGTACCCACTCCTCGTTTTGATAATAAATCATATTTAACTGAGCATGAACCTATTAAAGCTGATTCTAAGATAATTAAAATTTATAATTGGGGGGGCTCTTCAATTCGAAGATGAAGGGTTTCCATGTGAGTAAGCTGATTTTTAATTTAAAGTCAAACATCTTTTACATGCTGAAATCAGAAAATTCCAAAGATGATCATTTTCATTGTAGGAGAAGCTTATGAAGTCGTTCATAAAAATATTGAAGTTAACTTTATTATTCGTACTGGCAAACAGACTGCTAATCACTTTAAGTGGCTTTAAGTTTAAGTTTTTGAAGACAAAAATATTTTGATAATTAATTGTTTAGAATTGAAAACAGCTGCTGAACTACAAAAACTTACCCAGTCCAAAAATTGCAACGAAGAGCACAAAAATCTGTAATAAAGCTGCCAGGCGCATCTTGAAACTTTTATTTGATTCAGTTGTACTTGACAGTTACTTACTGTGTAATCTTGAGTGAGCAGGAGTTACACTTTATAAATATCTGATTAGCAGCTCAGCTGTCATTGATATAAATATTTTTCGTGATTTTCTAGTTATAAAATTTTTATTTCAGAATCAATTTAATAACAAATCAAATATGTTGTTAAGAAGTAACGACACTTTCTAACACTATACATTGCGTTTTTCTTTCCATTTCGATTCATTTTATTTAACAACAGTGACTTTAAAACACATCTATAATTATCTCGACATCTTTATTCGATAGAAATTAAATGCAAAATGTCAAAAAAAAGACGAAATTTCTTTTTTAACTACTTTTAAGAAGATAAATTTCATAGTTAGTGACGAATCCGAGTAAGCTGTTGATCCATAAAACTAGCTTTATGGATACAAAATTTGAGAAACGACATCTTCTAATAGCGTTGCAAATCCTGATGCCTTTTTGGAACAGAAAAAAGTCTTTTATTTTTACTATTATAGTTCTTGTAAATATTTCTTCGTGATTTTAAAATGCAATAATTGGTAAATATGAATGATTTTATCACGCTAATATTTTTTAAATTTTTAGCCCGAAAAACAAGAGAAAATTATTGAGCTTATAGAAAAAGTGCAATGTGTTTTATTTTGAACAGGACTCAATAGACAGCACAATTTTTACCATTAAACTAAAACTCGACGATTGCTATGCCATGCTTCCGTTTCAACTTTTAACGAAATAGCTATAAAACTTTTCTACAGAAAAAAATTAATAAAAGTATCTTTCCATTATCAATATTTTAAAATTTGTTAGTAAAGCAGTCAAAATTTGTCACTTAACATCTATTCAAGCAAAACTAATATCTATGACGTGAATCTAAAAGCAAAATAGTATACTTCATCAATAAAAAAATTATACGGAATTTAATTGTAACTTCGTCTTTTCAAATTAGTTATTTTTAATAGAATGTTCTTTTTTATTATTTTTATAGAATATATTAAAAGCAAAAGTGAATTAAAAACATTTAGTAATGTTGCGATAAAAGAAAATAAATTTGTAAAAATTAACTATTTATTACCTTAACTTAAAATCATAATATATAAGGTATAAAAACATTAAATGAAACAAAAGAATCAAAATTTCAACGCCAAAAGTTTCGAAACATGCTGGAGCTCTTCTGAACAAATTCTTTTAATATACACCAAGAAGCAATCATCCAATCGCTTTGAAATTTCGTATGCATGAATGTTTTGAACAGATATGGCTGAAATGATGCCGACTGGGGGCGTATAGTCTTTAGCTACGAATCCCGCTTCCAACTGTGTCCTGACGATCATCGAAGACGTGTTTGGAGATGCGCATGGCAGAGGGGGGATCTTGCCTTCACTATTGCACGCTACACCGGCCCTCAACAAGGCATTATGGTCTGGGGTGCCATTTCCTTTGACAGCCGGACCTCTTTGGTCGTCATTAGAGGTACACTTACTGCACAGTGGTACGTCGACGACATCCTAAGACCTGTTTCGCTACCGTTCCTTTCGCAGCATCCTGGGCTGGTTTTTCAGCAGGACAATGCCAGACCACATACGGCACGTGTTGCTATGAACTGTCTGCAAGCTTGTCAAACTCTTCCTTGGTCTGCCAGATCACCAGATCTCTCTCCCATCGAGCATGTCGGGGATATGATGGGACGGCGATTGCATCTGGCACGGCTTGTTGATGACCTCGTTCGACAATTGGATCGAATTTGTCAGGAAATACCGCAAGAGACCATCCGGGAGCTTTATCGGTCTATGCCACGCCGTGCGGCAGCTTGTATCCAGTCTAGAGGCGGGTCAACACCTTATTAAACTTGTTACTGTAACTCTGCAATAAATTATTCAATTGTTCTGAAATTTTAATCATTTACTATTCTGTACATTGTCTTCTTATCCGCCAATTTTCGTTTCAATCGGACAAATCCTTCTTGGTGTGTCGATTTTTTTTGTTATATAGTGTATAATAAGTATGGTTAGACAAACCTTAACTCATAGGATCTTTTAATTTTCTGAGAGGATTATTGTCAAACATCAGAGATGAATATGAAATTAGACAGCATAATTTAAAATTGGAAATATGTAAAAGTATAAGCAATTTTATAAATATCAAATGTTTCTATAAAACAAATTAAATATATAGTAATGATAAATATGTTATCTCAAAGAAAACTGAAAGGATACAATGTCTAACCCACATCCAATAAAATAATAAATTATCTGTAACAAAATGGATATAGCATACAAGCGCACCAAACTTTTTAATAACAGAATAGTAAGATAAATAAATTTAATAGAAAATGAGGATTAATATTTAATTTATGAAAAACTTCTTTACGTATAACATAACTTTTACATATAACATATTATATAAACATTTTTACTAAAAAAAATAATCAAAGATATGACAATATCGGGTTATTTTATATTAAAATACTTAACTATTTTTTTATCAAGAAATAGATTCATATAAAACTGAAAAATTTCTACTGTAAAAAGTTTAGTGTATAGTAACAACAGAACTTCTTTATATCAATAGTGAAGTGAAATACCAGAAATGATTCTTAGAGTAGATTCTTAGAACGTTTCTTTTCTTTACATGTTAAGTGTGCTGTTTATTGATTTTTAAGCGAATGTGAAAATTATTTTTTGCTAAATAATTTAATAACAATCAGAACATTTTAAATTTTACGTTATACAAATATCTACATGAACTCAAAGAATGTAATTTTTTATGCCAAAATACGAAATTTGTACAAAATCAGAAGAATAATTCCTACAAAATCGAGTTTTGAAAAATCGGATTTTTAAATTCAATTTTTCAGGAACTCACTGTAAAGTGTAAAAATTGTGGTATAATGTTTTTTCCGAAGCTAAACAACAAAATATTTTATGTGTTGGAACATTTTATTTCAAGTTAATACCAATTCGATCTTTCATATTCAATTAAAGGGAAATATATAAATCTTAATATTTAAAGCGGAAAAAGCTCATACCTAACATTCTTTCACGCATTCACACCATTCTTTAATTATTTTAGCCTACGTTAACGTTAATGTTGTTACGCTTTGTATTTCATTAGTAAATTGTTTAGAATTCAGAAGTAAGTAAGTGCGAGTTAGTTGCCTTCTACTTTGCCATGCAATGTCGACTGAAGCAAAAGTTCACCTTTAAAATATGTATGCATGTTTCATAATGTTGAATTTTTCTCCGTTTCGATTCTCCTTAGCCTAGTTCGTATTCACCTTAATCTTATCTCTGCGCTACGTGCATGTTTGATTGGCAAACTAATTTTGCTTAAAGAGTGCGAATATATATGAATCCTTAATTGAAGATCATTAATTTACAGTGTATCGAAAAATAATATTAAAATTTTTTGCGTACTTTATATTACTGCAATTATAAATTTTAAGTTTTAAGGAATAAGAAAAATGGTGACACCCGTGCATGGGAACCTCATTTTTAAAAAGTAGCGAGCATAAGTACAAGTACATTAAGCAAACGTAACGAGTGAAAAGTAAAAAAAAAAATGTCTTCGAAAAGTAACGAGTAAAAAGTACAAGTAAAATTAATTACAAGTGCAAAACGAAAAAGTAACGATTATAGAGTATATTTCGAGGAAATTGAAAATTCAAAGTAACCTTAACTTTCTATAAAAATTTACGAAAAAATATAAAAATTTTAATTTAAAACATATTAAATCTTAATTTGAATGCGAATTTTTTAAAATGCATGTAAATGTTACAAAATTCATTGAAATAGTGAATGTTGAAAATATCCAGCAACCAAAACCAAAAATCAAAATTTAATGTTGTCACATAAAAGGAATTTTAATTTAAGTTAATTTTAAAAATGCTAAGTCCTTAGAAGTTTTGTTTTTACTTCCGGAAACTGTTGTAATAAATTAAATTGTTTAACAAAACTTAGTAAATATTGAAACTTTTGCTTAAAGAAATATGTAAAAATTAAAAAATATACATTTTGTTTTTATAAACGTTGAAAAATTTATTATTAAATTTTAACCAATGATAATTTTTTAATACGTAGTATAGATATGCTCTATTAAATCAACTTATAATCAGAAATTGAGCATAAATGTTTTATTTTTAGATTTATAATGACGATATGATAAACTAAATGCTTATATATTATTGCAAAAATTATATTTTTACAAAATCAAGAAAGAAAAAAAAATAACAAAACTCAAGAATTGTTTAATAGATACTATATTTCAATTAAATAAAACATAATTTTTATTACTTAAAACTTACCAAAAAAAGTGATTTTTTACTTAGAGCAAATTCGATGGATCTATATATACCAGCGGGTGACCGAGCTCCGCTCGGAGAAAACAGGTATCGAAGCTAACTCGAAGATTTAAATTTTCAATTGTGATTTATCAAAACAATGCATGCCATAAGAAAATTTGTGAAACCATTGGTGAAAAGATAACCGGTTAAAGTGCACCATTGTAAACTATCTAAACAAAGTTAGAGTTTGGAAAGGGAACTATTCTATACAAAGGTAAAGTTTGAAAAGTCATAGGAAATAAAATGTAATTGATAACAAAAAATTATACAATTAAAGAAATGGTACAAAGTGAGCAGTGTGAAGATTGAAGTGTGTTGAAGTTCAATATTTTTGACAAATTTATGTAGAAAAGCCAAACATATATACATACATAAGAAACATATTATAAACCTATAACAGCATAAACATAATAAACATTAATCATCGATTGCGAAGTCTTCCATGTTGTCCAGGTAGTTTCTTGTCGGAGAGGTAGGTGCGGCTGGTGAGTTTCTCTTGTTCAGGACTTCCTTCCATACGACGTTTTGGGTGTGGGTTGGATTCTCAGGAGGCAGCAGGACCTTCAACGCACTTTGACGTTTGACTCTTGAAAACGCGACATAGAGCATTCCGTGCACGAAGACCGTCGTGAAGAGAAGCACGCTGACGAATTCGAATGTTTGGCCTTGTGACTTGTGTATCGTAATGGCGAATGCTGGAGTAACTGGGAATTGGTGCCGTTGCATAGTTGCGCCAAGCTGTGATTTGCTGGAGTCGAGCGTGATCCTTGGAAGGTGTACTTGTCGGCCTGCGTGTTCACCGGTGATGATCTTAGCCTTGATGATGTTGTTGCAAAGTTCGGTGACAATCAATCGTGTTCCGTTGCACATTCCTTCAGAGACGTCCAAGTTTCGGAGAAGCATGATGATGGCGTTCTTCTTGAGCTTCAGATTGTGTGGAGGCAAGTCGGCGATGTTGATCGAGTTCAGGAATTCAGGCGCGAATTGAATTCCCCCTTCATGTTGATCCTTTACCGAGTCGAAACTTGTGTATGTCTTCTCTTCGCCTGGAAGCATAGCGATAATCTGCTCGTTGATCTTGTCCTTATCGTCGTTCAATGGTGCAAGAATAGCGCGATTCTTCATTGCTTCGTAGTTCCCACTTCTGAGGCATGGTCCGAAGATTTCATCGATGAGGTTACCACCAGAGCGAATTTCTTCTGGGACTTCTATTTCGCCGAGTTCATTCACTTCGAGTTCCCCGTCGCCGAGCTTTAGCAGGTATTTCGCGAATTCTTCTTCTTCGGGATCAACGCGCATGTTCTTTTCGAGCGAATAAGTCTTGAAGTGTTGCCACAGATGGCTTCTCTTGATCAAAAGGTCGAGTATTTCGCTTTTGTTGGCACGTTGTTGAACTGGACAGCACTGTCGGAAGTCGCCACCATATTTT